CGAGCTACACCAGGTTTCAGACATGCAAATTAAACTAAAAATACTGAGGGATTCTTTTATATTTGTACAAAAGTTTTCAAAATTTTTTGTTAAGCGTCTTATATTAACATGCAAAATGTTAAAATTATTTGAAATAAGAAATTCTTCAATCTCATTAAAATAATAATAGAAGCAGTTGCTTTTTAATGCACATGCTTCGATAAAATAATTATGGACCGGGTCCGATTTGAAGTTGTCTAACAAACCATCAGTTTGAAAAAAATCAAAAGAGTTTAAACCCGAATTTTTTGAGTTATTCGAATCCATTTTTATTTTATTTGTTGTTATTATTTGATAAATAAAAGAATTTCTTTTAAAAATCCAGTGTAACTAGTTTATTATAAACAACTTTCGCATACTTACCTTTTTGTCTAAGGTCTTTAGCGTCTGTTAACAATTTTTTACGAAGTCAACTTTTTCGTTCGCAAAAATCTTCGTTAATGAAAAGGCGATACTTTGGCCATTTTTAAAAAGTTTAAATAAACATCTGTAACTTTTAAACAGTAAAGTAACGTTTTACTATTTTAAATAGTAAAACGTTGCTATTTTATATTAATGCACTCAATGTTTATATTAATAGATACAAGATAAACCATGTTTAAATAAAAACATGGTTTATCTTGTATCTATTAATTTTTCTTTACCAAAATTTCTCATTAACACTTATTTAAAATTCAGTTCATTTCAATATCGTGGACAATTTCTGTGGAGAAATTTCTTTCAAAATACTATTAAAAAGAAAACTCTTTTTAATTTCTCTTTAGAAAAATTTAAAAAAGAGTTTAAACGTTTCTTATTAGAAAAAACTTCAAATTCAAATATTTCTTCTAAAACAAGGTCAAAAAGTAAAATAACTATACTGAAAAAGTCATCACAACTCAGTATTTTTGTCTTGATTATTTGTCTTGGTTATTTGACTTTTATTTCGTATTAAAATAAAAAGTTTGTGTTATTGTTTATTTTTAATATCTTATACTGTTTAGTGTTTTTATTATCTCCGTGGATTGTATTTTAATTTACTCAATTTCTTTTCCTTTTAAACTTTTTGTTTGGTTTTAAATTTTTAAATAGTAATAACGGCAATAATGGGGCTCGGCGATAAGACGGTACATATCTTCTTCTTGCTCCGGCTTTTTATTTTATATTTACTATCTTTTTGTAAATATAAAATAAATTATACGGCAAAAAATAAATAATATTCTTTACACAAACTTCAGTTTTATAAATCATAAAATCTAAAAACTAAATAACATGTTCAATAATACCTTTTCTAAAAATTCTTCCTTTACAAGTTTGCATTCAATTTCTTAACATACTTTTCAATGGTATCTTTATAACCTTTATGTTTTAAATGGTATCCTTGTAACAACCTTCATGTTTTAAACGAAAAAAATATTTTTTAGATCCATTTTTAGCAAAGCTGCCATAGAGCAACTTTAACTTATTAAAAGTTCTCCCAAATTTGACTTTTCACCGTCACATTATATACAAGATTATTTCTCTCGATGTTTTAACTGTTAAAAATAAACTTTATTTAGCTGCTTAAGATCTGCTACAAAGTAGAACTTCAAATTGAGCAAATTTTCTTGAACAAACTTTCTCTGAATCTGATTTACTTGCTTTTCATTAAAATTTTTGACAAAAGCCAAAACAATAACTTTATTTATACCAGTATTTTTGGAATTTTGACATTTGACACATTATTATTTCTAAAATTTATTTAATAAATTTTCTTCTTGTTTAAAAAAGTAAAAAAAAAAAAAAAATCATACACAAACTTTTAAAGAAGTGGGGGACAAGTTTGCTAAATTCCCTAAAACGTTTATTTTCTCGTTAGATGTTCCCAGGATGTACATCAAACGATCTCTTCATAGAAAAAAAGCGTACGTACTTTATGGACGACCCCTAACTAATGATTTTTGAAAAAAGAAAAAAATTTTGTTAAGAGGTAAACTCTTAATAAAAATATTAAATTTAATTTTTTTGCCAAAATAAAATAAATAAGCTATAAGGAGAAAGGGAACAGGCAGGTTGTGGATTCCGTCCTAGAACAGTGGTTGTAATAGCAACTCATTTCACATTTCACTTTTTTTTTCCCAATTAAATTGTGTTTGCTCTCTTAAACCAGCTTCTTCGATTGCAGAAGTTTTTAGACGCTTTATTATTTCCTTGGATGATGACTCGTTTTTTTCAGTTTTCTTATCTTGTTATATAAAACTTCGAGAAGAGAATGCTTGGGCAGTACCCCAGCAAACAATAGACGTCTTTTAGACCGTCTAAAATTGGTCTAATTTGTATCTATTGCCGATACGTATATTTTAGACGTATATTAGAGATCAAAAAGACGTCTGATTCTAGAGATACTATTTTTGCTCTGTTTTAGATGCATATTAGATGCATAAAATAGATCGTGCATAGATAATTTTTTTTTCATCTAAACTTAGATGTCTATAAGATGTCTTATATAGATTAGTTATAAAAACAAGAAAAAAATATCAACTAATTTTACGGAGCGACAATTATAAATGAACGCCATTTAAAAACCATGCTTAAACTTATTACGAAAAAAGCATGAAGATTTTAACCTATGGAAAACATTAATGATTATTTCTTTTGATAAATTTTAAATAATAAAATAATATGCTATTATAGTTCACAAAATATTTCGATGATTTGATGCTTAGCATGTTTGCTAAAATCCTTGTGATTTGAAATTTATTTTGCAGAAATATTACAAAATTAATATTTTCAAGTTGATATTTTTATTTCTAGAATAAAAGATAATGTAATTAAAATATATGTATATATATATATATATATATATATATATATATATATATATATATATATATATATATATATATATATATATACATATATTTTAATTACATTATCTTTTATTCTAGAAATAAAAATATCAACTTAAAAATATTAATTTTGTAATATTTCTTCAAAATAAATTTCAAATCACAAGGATTTTAGTAAACATGCTAAGCATCAAATCATCGAAATATTTTGTGAACTATAATAGCATGTTATTTTATTATTTAAAATTTATCAAAAGAAATAATCATTAATGTTTTCCATAGGTTAAAATCTTCATGCTTTTTTCGTAATAAGTTTCGTAATAAGTTTCGTAATAAGCATGGTTTTTAAGGCGGTCATTTATAATTGTCGCTCCGTAAAATTAGTTATATATTTTTTTTGTTTTTATAACTAATCTATATAAGACATCTTATAGACATCTAAGTTTAGATGAAAAAAAAATTATCTATGCACGATCTATTTTATGCATCTAATATGCATCTAAAACAGAGCAAAAATAGTATCTCTAGAATCAGACGTCTTTTTGATCTCTAATATACGTCTAAAATATACGTATCGGCAATAGATACAAATTAGACCAATTTTAGACGGTCTAAAAGACGTCTATTGTTTGCTGGGTAGTTGCAAACCAAAAAAAATCACTTAACAAGTTGAAAAAAAATTAGACAGTGCTTGTAATATTTTTTTATTAACAATTTTTCCTAATACTTAATAATAGTTAATTATTTAAAAAAACAACTATTTTTTTAATGAAAAACGTTAAAAAAAGTTAAATTTGCGTAACTATTGCGTTTGGAACACAAATCTTCTCATTTCTAAAAAAGGTTTTAAAAGATAATGCTTTATAATTTCATAAAAATTTACTCTTATCTCCAGAAATTAACACTTTTATCTCCAGAAATTAACACTCTTATCTCCAGAAATTAACACTCTTTTCTCCAGAAGTTAACACTTTTTTTTTTTGATTTTGAAATGACGCTCAAAATTAAAGCAATAATTATGACATAAAACTGATGTTACTTGTTAGGACAACAAAAAAGTACGAAGGGGTTGTGCTTTAAAATGAATAGGGTTAAAAGTTATTAAAGTTTTCTAATTTAATATAACTGCTCAAAACTCTAAGATTCTTGTAATTAAAATTCATAGGTTTTAAGCTGCTACTGGTCGCTAGTTTATTTAGAACAGCAAACGCTGCCTAGACAAATATAAGCTGCAGAGAACAACTGGAGAAATAAAATGTTCGTAAAGTAATTTTTTCAAATATAAGCTGCAGAGAACAACTGGAGAAATAAAATGTTCGTAAAGTAATTTTTTCAAATATAAGCTGCAGAGAACAACAGGAGAAATAAAATGTTCGTAAAGTAATTTTTTCAAATATAAGCTGCAGAGAACAACAGGAGAAATAAAATGTTCGTAAAGTAATTTTTTCAAATATAAGCTGCAGAGAACAACTGGAGAAATAAAATGTTCGTTAAGTAATTTTTTCAAATATAAGCTGCAGAGAACAACAGGAGAAATAAAATGTTCGTAAAATAATTTTTTCAAATATAAGCTGCAGAGAACAACTGGAGAAATAAAATGTTCGTAAAGTAATTTTTTTAAATATAAGCTGCAGAGAACAACAGGAGAAATAAAATGTTTGTAAATTTTTTCAAATTTTTTTTTTGTAGGTCAAGAACAAAAGCAACTTTTTGTTTCTTTGCAAAAATTTGAAAAGAAACTTTTAGTATATGAAGAATATCTTCAATTAAGCTTTAATTTTGTGAAACTTTTTTATACTATGTTGCATTAAATATAGACAATAAGGTAAAATTAATACCGATTTTTAAAGTCAATCGTTTTGACCGTAAACTTTAATGTGCTTTTTTTAATGTGACATAAGAAAGGTTATTAGATTGTGTTTACAAGCTTCGACAAATTACAAAATTACATTAAACGTTATAAAAGCTATTAGTCCTGATCACTTTTTAAGGTTATCAAATTTGAAATTCCAAGCAAGTTATAATTTTCAAATACTTTACTAATACGTGAGTCTAACAATTCTTTTTTTTACTAGCACGTAATGTGCTTACACCTAGGTTCAAATAGGTTCACTCTAATTCTGCGTCTGATTAAATGGCGAAAAAAATGAAAAATTAAAATATTTATAAACTCGCCAAATTATAATCCGTACAAACAAACGTACAATTTCTTTCCCATTTCGTTTTTTTATTTTCCTGTTAAATTGTGTAGTTGTCTTAATCCAGCTTCTTCCATTGCAGAAGTTTTCATTCGCTCTATTATTTCTTCGGATGTTGACTCGTTTTTTTTTAGTTTTTTTATCTTGTTATAGTAAGACCAAACTTCTGAAGAGAATGCTCGACCAGTACCAGTAGCAAACCGAAAAACAATCGCTAAAACAAGTAAAAAGCAGATTGCACACATGGTTATTATCATAACAAAGAACTCAGGATGGTCATTTATATCTAAAAAAAAAAAATCAACAGATCAAGAAAAGTTTGAAAGAAAATAATACGATTATAGATTGTATTCTAAATAAAAACCTCTTATTCCTAAAGACGTATCCTCACTCATATAGTAAACTTCAAGAGAACATTCTGCGTGTATAAATGAATCATCTCTGTACGCGTCGAGGAGACCTCTGGGAAAATCAATTGTCCAATTATTGAATAAGACTGTAAAATTGAAAATAAATTCATTCGGTTTCGATGTGCTACAACAAAACGTTTATAATATTTTATTTGAAGCAAAGTTTTTATTGCAACAAGATTGAGTTAAGAAAAATTTTTTGTTTGCATTCTATAGAATGAAAACAAAGTATTTTAGGAATCATAAAAGAATTACAAATTTGTAATTCTTTAATTAATTCATTAAAATATAATTATAAGTATTTAATAATTATTTAAAATTTAATATATATTTATTTAAAATTTAATATATAATCATTTAAATAAACTATAATTATTTAAAATTTAATATATAATTATTAAAAAAATAATTAATTTATTTAAATAATTAAATACGTTATGTTAACTGTTTTCTTACTTTTGAATATAAAAGTATTTATATTTTTATATTCAATATTCATTTCGAATATAAAAGTATTTATACTTTTATATTCAAAAGTAAGGAAACAGTTAACATAATATATTTAATTATAAAAAAAATGCAATTAAGTTTTATAAGTGTTTTGAGTAGTAATAAAACAATTTTTTAAGTTATCGAGACAATTAGACCGTTATGATATTGCCAGTAAATTGATTTATCCAGCATTGTCATATCTTATGCAGACCACTTCTAGGCCAAATAGACCGCCAGGTTTTATCTCGTGTCAAATGAAACTTTATTAGTTTGGTATTAGTATACTGGTTTTTTAGTATTAAATAAAATGAATGCTAATTGCATTTCAAGAGACAACATTTTATTTATCAACTGGCAAATAAATCTTGGTTGTAACTGTTAAATGTCAAACAAGGTTAATAGAAGATCATTAAAGTATATACCGAAACTTTCTATTAACAAAACCAAACAGTTAACAAGTATTTTTTTAAAATGATCTTGAGGAATCCATATCACATTTTTATCATGTAGAAAGGTAATTTATAAATATTAACTTTATAAATATTAATTACAAAAGTATTCTCTTACAATGTTTTTACATTTTTCAATACATTTTTAGTACTTTAAATACATTTTGTACGTAATGAATACATTATATAGAAAAAAGAGTCTTCATCATGAATAAAGTTTCCTGATCATGAGGTCAAACTGATCCTATGTATTGATAGGTGAGGCTATACAATATTTATGTTCAAAAGGTATCATCTTTCATAAAGTACTTAATAAATCAAAATGCTTTAGACCTCAATTCTGCATTCAAGTCGAAAGTCTGCAATTTACATGAATAGTGCACTATTCATGTAAGGTTTAACTAGGGTTGCCAGACGTCCGGCTTTTACAGAGGAGAATACAGCGCCAAACCTGTAGAAATATTTTTTTTTACTATGTTTTCTTTCGTTAAAGCCAGACGTCGGGCAACCCTACGTTCAACGATGTCATATTCTTGTAGTTGTTAAAGATTTTCTTTAATCAAGCTTTAACTTAAGAATAGTATTAGAAAAACTTAATTTGCAAAATGTCAAGTTTTTTTTATAGCATTTAATTTGAAGTGCACAAAGACTGTGCTTGTCTGTTGAACCATGCAAAAAATATTGCATGTCTGTGAGAAATATTGCATGTCTGTGATGGTTTGAAAAATAAAAAATGTGAAACTAAGAACTCTCAGAAGTCCTAATTATTAGTATAAAAAGTACAGCAAAACACTTTCAAAAATCTAATATGCAACTATATATGAATGTGATCCAAGAACTCTCTATTAGAGAAGAGATACTCTAACCCAGTATTTGTTACTAGCTTCTGAATTACATCTTTTAATTAGAGTTATATCTACTTTGAGATGTCAGTCTTCAGGCTATATGTCCTATCGATATTTATATGTCCTATGGATATTCATATGTCGTATGGATATTTATATGTCCTATGGATATTTATATGTCCTATGGATATTTATATGTCCTATGGATATTTATATGTCCTATGGATATTTAAACCTGATGACTGAATTTGATTTGAAGAATAAAAATGTTATACAGAGGGGGTATCAAGGTCAAGGTTGTATTTACTGGCATAAGACATAAGTTAGCATTTACTGTATTAAAAAACTCCTTATCTACCCATGACTTTCCTGAAGTTCAGGAGGGAAAAATGTTCATTTTGTTTCACATTTTGCTGTCTCATGTTTGACTTTTTGTAAAACACCATAACTGTGTATATCCAAGTTTACTGAAAATTGTAGCAAAGCTATTTATTCTAAATTTAAACCTGCATAGAATTGATTTTAACATGTAGAAGAGCATACTCAGCATGGACAACAATTTTATTCACTGTAGTTAATTTTAATGAAAGGTTTAATTTAACATTAACTTTTATTTATGGAGAATTAATTGATAGTTGGATTGTGCTAACTTAATCTAAATATACATGTATATTAGAATAATAAATAATTTTAATGTTTTTGTTATTTTAAACTTGGTTTAAAACTCAAGTTTTTTCTTTGTAAAAGGCATCTAAATTGCCTTTTTTTGGGTAAAGTGAGGGCTTAAACCCAATTTTAACCTTTTGTCATAACTATGGCAAAACTATTATAATTTTTTTTTAAAGACAAAAACTCTTCAATAAAAAGGATTTTATGTGACAGGAGATTGAGCCTGGTTGTCTCTTTTGGCTCATAGTAGCTTCCAACTTGAATAGTGGTTGCCTGCAGCCTTGTTGGAAATAAATTTTTCAAAAACAACATTTAGTAATTTTCTAAAGTTAAGTCACTACTTTAAGGGTGACCATTAAAGTTTAAAAAAAATTGAACAAACTTTTTTTTTGGTACATTGGTACTGCATGTTTTATGTCTAAATTTTTCAAGACTAAACCTTGAAAAGACATCTTGAAGATTAAATGTAACTTTTAGACAAAACACCTTGAAAAGTTTATTAGATCTATAAATAAAATATTTTAGAACTTACTTTCCGATTGTTGTGGCCACACTCCATCCTGTGGCAGCTGATTGCCCATCAAGCTGAAAATAAATTATTATAAATTAATTTATTTGCTATAAACCATGAGAATGTTTAACATTTATAACCAAATGTTCAACACAAAATTTATTTAAAAGTATTTAAAAAGACAAAATTTGTTTAGAAGTGGTTGAACAGATCAAAACAAATTGGATACAAAATACAAAATTTTATTTGCAAATGATTGCTTGTGGTTTGCATACTTTCTTTTTCCACACGCCCTCTGATAAACCAATGTATATTTTGCTGGGTGTATTTGGGCAAGGTGTTATGCATTTGTATAACACCTTGCCCAAATACACATCCATAAATAACGCACGCAAGTATGGGGAGGGGGTCACTCAAAAGCGTACCAGTGCGTATAAGGGAAAGGGTGAATTATTTTTTGTTTGAACTTTTTTCATGTGAAGCCCAGCAAAAAAGCGTTGATTTTTTAGTTATTGCATTTGTATATCTACCAGAAAAAATATGTTAATGCAGCTTTATTAAATAAAAAAGTTGACAACATAACATGATGTAACATAATTATTTCCCATTGGAGTTGAACTAACAGTTATATAACAAATATATTTGTTATACACATTGTTTATTGAAACTTTTTTTTTAATTTTTAGTTTTGTTTTGCTTTAACTTTTTTAATAAATAGACTTTAACATATGATTAAACGATTCAAAGATATCAGTGAAAATAATTAGTTTATTAACTTCTATTTGGCAAAAAATATTTGATATTTCGACGTTTTGATGTTTTAAATATAATAGTTATTAATTAATAGAATTTGAAAGAACCTGTACGAAATCAAAGTTATAAGTGAAGTTTTAGTTTGATAAATTTTTTATGCTAGATATTTATTTATAAGATATTTATAAATATTGTGCTAGATATTTATAAATATTGCGCTAGATATTTATAAATATTGCTCTAGATATTTATAAATATGGCGTTAGATATTTATAAATATTGTGTTAGATATTTAACATTAAAGTTTGAAATTTTCATTGAAGTGTTGCATATTTTGATATTTTAAGCAAAGTTTTTTGTCAAATGGACCCTAAAAAACTGTACAAGATGGCGAATGGTTCAACTTAACCAGGGTGCGATTAAGCAGATAATGAGATAAAGTTCAACTGGAACTTAAAAAAAAAAAACATGCTGAACTTTGCTTTCGAATAGAAGAAGTAAATCATTTTTAATTTAAACTTATGCTGCATAAATTAAAATTAAAGAACAATAAGGCATAAATTATGCGTGACATTTATTACGAATATTACTTCTTTATTTAACCTAATGCAAACTCTACTGTTTAAACATATTTTGACTTCAGCAAAAAGATTTTATAAAAAATATTTTCTTTAAAATCAACTTATAATTTTCTCCCTCGCAAGTTCTTCAGATGAGCGCAATTTATTACTCTGGTAACAAAACTAGCGAGCGCTGTTTGCCGCTCCTAGAAGGCCATTTATGTGCATGTTCCCATTTCATCACAAGGCTTATATATAAATATATATATATATATATATATATATATATATATATATATATATATATATATATGCATATTCATATACAATTGGAATAAATTGAATTTAAATAAACAATTAAAATAAAAGTAATATACAGTATTGGCCATTAATAACAATCTATCATACTATTATTTATATCATTTGACTTTGATTGATATTAAATCAATGATTTTTTGATTCTTTTTAAATATAAAAAGTATATTTTGATGAGCATCCTATTTTCTTTCAAATGAATATAGAGTTCATAAAAATATTATTAGATGGTGCTAATTTTATTGCTTTTTTTTTTTACATATATCTCATAATCTAAAATAATTATAATGGCCAAAATTAACAATCTATTATTTCAAAATTCTTTCAAAACTTCATTTGTTTTTGATTAAAAATTTGCAATTATTTCCGAATTATTTATAATTATTTGAGAAATTTTATTAAAATTGTTTGAAAAATTTGCGTAAAAAATGAAATAGAAAAATAATTATCTAATTAACTACAATATTTCAGCAGTAAAACAATCAAATTAAAATTTTTTTTTGATAATATAACAAAATGTAAAATCGTTGTAATGAATGAATAAAACATCTCAATGAGAGAAATTGCAAAACATTTGAACACAACACATGTAACTTTTAGCAAAATAATCAGCTGATATTAAAGATACAATACCATTGAAAATCTTCCGTGTCCTGGAAGACCCAGAATTTCAAATAAAAGAAAAGAACATTCACTTATTCGCATAACGAAAAAAAAAAAAAAAAAATTAATCATTTACTGATTTCAATCGAAAAGGAGAAAAAACTTCTGATGTTATTGCTAGTGCACAAACAATTAGAGGAGTAATACAAAAGCACAATTACATGTAGCAAGCTTTTTTAAAAAAACCATGTCTATTGATAAAACATCAGAAAGCAAGAAAAACTGGTGTTTAGCTCATAAAATTTGGTCTATGAGTATGTGGCACAACATTCTTTTCAGAGATGAAATAAACATTGAGGTTGATTGAAGAAAAAACCAAGTAATTCTGAGAAAAAAACCACATGGAAAAATGGACATAAATTGTTCTACATATAAAAAAAAAACATGTAGTGATAGTATAGACACCTGAGCCTACATAAACTATGAAGGTGTCGGCTGTTTCAAACTATTTGATGGAAGCCTTTATTCTTAAAGATATTTGACATATTTTACTTTAATAGACATATTGGATAATTATTTAATGCCTTCTATTAAAATTGTCTCAAAAGACATGGGCACTATCTTCCAACAAGATAATGCTCCATACTGCTAAGATTTTCAAGTAATTGTTTGAAGAAAACAACATTAAAATCATGCCTTAACCTGCCAATAGTCCAGATCTCAATTACATAGACAATTGTGGTCTTGATTAAGCCAAAATTTTGGTAAAATTGAAATAAAAGATCTGGACTAACTGAAAGAACTAGTAACAAAATTACTGAAGAAATTTCCAAAAGATATTATTCAGAATTTAGTGAATTCCGTGTCAAAACGTATCAATAAATGCTTAAAAGCAAAAGGGTTATCAACAAAATATTAATTCTTTCTTTTTTTTAATGTTTTTTAAATATTTTTTTTATTAAAGTTTGTCATTTTTGTTTTTGTGGTTTATTTATTTTGGCCACATTTTTTTTTTTTAATTTTAGTTTTAAATTTCTTTTAATTTTTTTTTATTTTATAATAAATATATATTGTGATTTTTAAATTTATTTCAATAAAAAAAACTTAAAAAAAAAAATCACTTTTAGTTTATAAAATATTTAGCTTCAAACTTTTATTCATATTACAAAAATAGTACCAATTGCATTGTTACAAACTAGGATAAGTACAAAGCAGTTGCAAAAACTGGCACAAGTGCAAACTGGCATAAGTCGAAAGAATTTGCAAACATTGGCACAAGAGCAAATTGTTATAAGTACAAACTGTCATAAGTGCAAATCAGTTGCAAAAACTGGGACAAGTGCAAACTGACATAAGTGTGCCAAAAGAATTTGCAAACATTGGCTTAAATGCAAACTAGCATAATTACAAAGCAGTTGCAAAAACTGGCATAAGTGTGAATTGGCGTAAATGTGAACTGGCATAAGTGCACTGAAAAAATTTAATATCATTGGCAAATCAGCAGTAGAATGAGAAAACCGGTTAGCCGGAGAACACTTCTGCAAGACTATAACAGGTATGTTGTCCAGACCACAAGCTGTAGAAGCATCTAAGCAGGAAATCGCTTTAGAAACAGAAGCTGGAGTGATACGAATGTCAAGTAATGGATCAACCTGTTTGTTGGCTATATCAGGTAGGACGTGATTAGTGGAATCAATAGATGAGATAAGCACTTGTTAAAGAGTTATAAAATTATAGACAACAGCTCCGGAAAACACTTCTACAAGACTATAACAGGTATCTTGTCCAGACCAAAAGGTGTAGAACAGTTTAAGCAGGAAATCACTTTAGATACAGACGCTAGAGTGATAGGAATGTCAAACAAATGATAAATCTGTTAGATCATTCCAGTCCACAGTGGGGCAGAATTCACTTTTACTGGACAAAACTCATAACTAAATTAATATTAGGGATATATTCACTAAAATTAACTTGAGCACTATTATAATGTTTGCACATCTTATGAAGGTGTTATTTTTTATTTTGTTGCTATGAATACCTTTATTTTGCTAAGCAACAACCCATTTTTGGTATTTTCAGATATTTTACAAGTGTTATATTCATTAAATTTGGCATGAGTACCAATATGAGATCACGCTTCTTATAAAAGTGATATTTTTTTTTATTTAGTTGCTATGATTATTTATATTACTTAGTTACCAGACAATTTTCTTAGTTACAAAGGAGTAAATTATTTTTTGAGTAAATTTTATTGAATTTTTGACCCACTTATTTTGAATAACTATTAAATATTTAGGAAATTAATATTTTAACAATACAAATAGTGCAAGAAAACATTGTCAATTTTAAATTAAATCAAAAATTTATAGAACAATTGTTTAAGTAGTTGTAAAACATTTTATGATTTGTTCTGTGTGATGTTGATTTACACAGAGATGAAATAACAGGGTCACTGGAAACGAGAAGTCTATTGATCAGTATGTGTTGCTCTTCTGGATGTTATATAGCAATAAGATTTAGTCTTTATTTCTAGCCTCTTGAGCTTTCTTTTACATAAGTCCTATGGATAATATAAAGCTTTTAATTAAGTCATGTCCATGTATCAATACTTTGTGCACAGATTGAGTCATAAAATACCATGAACAAAGGGACACATATAGTCTAACAGTGTCATAACAATAATCCTTGAATTATAAGCAGTTTTTTTCATACCCTGAAAATAATGTAAAATCTGAATATAAGGTTTTTATCAATACCCAAAATTTCAGCTGTTTTTTCTTCTGTTGCAAAACTACATCTTGCAGTATTGTCATTGTTGCTTGATCCAGAACCTTCACTTTTGGGGAAATCAACAACAAGTCCAAATTTGTTCATAAAATCAGTCTGAATCTTTTGTTTAGTTATGGATACCTTTTCTTTGTGTTCTTTTGATCTTGCTTGCCACTGATTTTTTTTTATATGCAAAATTATCTAAAAAATCAAATCCATGCATGGAAACTGAACCATATTTGAAATTCTTTGTGAGTATAATCTGTATTAAGAATTTCAAGTCTATTCATTATTTTTGGACCACAAGAGACACCACGTACTGAACAGCAGATTTTCTTGCTATGGTATGAGTTACTTTTTGCAGAACTTTCCCATCAATCATCGTAAGTTCAATAATACAAAAGATCCGCAAACATCTAATAAAATCATACCTAATCATTCTACCTTTTATTGTACTGATCTTCTTTGAGCACAGATTCCTTGGATTCCATTTTGTATGCAAATTTTAAGAGTCTGCAATAGGCTGTGGATGATGACTCTTAATTTCTCCAAATAGGTACCTTTTCATGTATATATATATATATATATATATATACATATATATATATATATATATATATATATATATATATATATATATATATATATATATATATATATATATATATATATATATATATATATATATATATATATATATGTTTATATATGTATATATGTATATATGTATATATATATGTATATATGTATATATATATATATATATATATATATATATATATATATATATATATATATATATATATATATATATATATATATATATATATATATATATATATATATATATATATATATATATATATATATGAAATTACAGCCAGTGCTTTGTCTGCTGAATATTTATTTGCTCTATCTGTATTTGAAATATTTAAAATGTTCTTGGCAGCAATAACATTAGATTCATCTCTTAATTTCTTACTAGCAGCTAAAAATAATTTGTTAGATGAATGAGATTCAAGCAAGCCAGATACACACCACTTTTTAGTTTTATTAGAACTATCATCAAATTTAACTGGTTTTTGACCACGTCTACTTGCAGTTTGTTCAATGTCTTTTTCACAAAGCCAATTCACAAACTTCTTTTTAAAGTTTTTGACAGTATAGTTTGCAGATTTCTACTTTTTTTTTTCAAATTTAGCAATTTTTGGCTGAATAAATTTTAATATATCTTCAATAATATTATGTTTTGAAATACCAAGATTGTATTTTTGGAGAAAGTTATGAATTTCTAAGTTTAATATTTAAATAACTCTTATATCAAATATTTTGTATTTAACAGTTTAAAATTATAAAATATAACCCCTGTGGATTAATACTTCTTGTTAGTAATGAAAATGATATAAGTGTTAGTAGTTAAAATTTAAAGTAATTAAATTACTCTAAGTGTCAGTAATTAAATTACTAACATATTTTTGTTAGTTGTTAGTAACTAAATTACTAACAACTAACAAGATTATGTAACTGCTAAATGCTATGTTGCAGTGAAACAAAGTAAGGTATTTATAACAACCAAAATAATTTACTCTTATAAAAAGTGTGAATCTCATTTTAATACACACACCCAACATAATGTATTTAGCACAAATAAAAAATGTTAAAACAACCTTAATGTAAAAAATAGATTAATGTTATGCAAAATTAAGTACCATAGCAACCAAATTAAAACACATATAATATCTGAACTGAGATCTAAGGGGGCGAGCAATCAATGGAAACTTGTTGAAGCATCATAGAACTCCAATAAATATTAGACAGCACAATTGAGTCAATTATTAGTTATAATGTGACAAAAAATAAATTTCTTAAAGATTTTTTTTAAATCTTTGATTTTCAAAGTATAACTAAGATAAAATGCTATGGCAAATTTATTCTATGCAATGCAATGCAATGGTTTTTTCTTATCTCTGAATAGTCTAAAATAAAAAGTTTTGAAAATGTAGATGTAATTGAAACATCACAGAATGTTGATATCACCAAAATTATTTATTTATAACTATAATTTTTTTTTCTAATATTAGTATTCAAATGCTGAGAGTCCCGGTAACTTTTTTAATACAAATAAATTATGAATAAATTTCTCTTAATATATATATAGAAACTAAAATTAATTAAGTTTCCAAGATTAGACAACTAAAATGTTTTCCATTTTGTCCACCTACTGTGCAATGGATCAACCTGTTTGTCAGATAGGATGTGATTAGTGGAATCAAGAGATGAGATTAATGAAAAGTTTTTAGCAAATAATTCTGCTTTGTCTTTAGGTGAGGTGACAAAATATGAACCATGCAAGAGAGGTGGAATAACACCCAAGAGAGGTGAAATAACACGCAAGAGAGGTGGAATAACATGCGAGAGAGGTGGAATAACATGCAAGAGAGGCGGAGTAACACATTATAGACACTATTAAAGATTCTCCAGAAGTCTCTGGAGATTTTTGAAATGAAATATGAGATTTTATGACATTAGAATAGCAGGCTTTGGCGTTAAACAAAACCCTTTTAATAATGGTTTTTAGCAACAGTAAACAACTGTCTGTTTTCTTGAGAATTGTTTAAGTGATAGATATGGAAGTAATAATTATAATTGGAAATTGCAGCAACACAATGAGAGGAAAACCATGAAGAAGAGAGAGGCTTGACTTGGAATTGTCAAGAGAGAATAAAAGATTCCATGCCAGTCTGAATCCAAAAAGTTACATAAGCACATTTGTCAACAGGAAGACAAATGATTTCTACCCAAGGACCTTCACAAAGAAAATCATAGAAATATTGCCAGATAGAGTCCCAGTCAGCTTTGAGTATTTATAAAAAGTACAATAATAGGGAAATTCTGATGATGAAGAAGATTGAGATAATAGTTTTAGAGAGATCAAACCATGACCAGAAGCATCTAAGGGTGAATGTAGAGAAACTGAGCATTGACTAAGATCAGAAAAAAGACACAAGTCGAGTATAGAATGTAAATGATCCGACTGAAATGAAATAACATCAAAAAGAGTGCAGTCTTGAGATGAAGGAGAGTGACATAGACAAAGAGAAAGCTGATAAAGTGAAGTGTTGCAAAATGGAAGCCCATAAAAGAATAGTGTGCGGGTTCAAACCTAGTTTCCTATCAAAAGGATGGATTCTTATAAATGTGAATGCCCAGGCCAAGCATACCCTATGGGCATTTGTTTTTAAAAGTTACATTCTAAATGTCTTTTAAATATTTTTTAAATGGCTTTTAAACGTTTTTTATGTAAGAATGTTTAGAAGACATTTAAAATATGTTTAGAACATAACTTTTAAAAGCAAATGCTCGCTGGGTATGATCATTGGAGTCTTTGCAAACTAACAGAAGAAAACCATTAACACTTAAATCACAAGATGAGACAGCTGAACTCAAATTGTCTCACAAAGAGCAATTAGGGTGACCACAAATATTAGTGAATGATAGATTTAGAGAACTTGGTGATGACAATGGTTTTTTGTGTTTTATAGTTTTTGGTATTTAAGTCATTTTTGAATATATTAAAGAACTTGACTCAAAGTTCAGATAGTACACTATTTAATAGTCCAAGCAATTGCCTCATTACTATTAATAATCTCTATGTGATAACAAAGGGCTCCAAATATGGCCTTGACAATGCACACCAAAAATATGAACAGGGACACCATCCATGTGCAACATGACACTAATAATAATGTGATATTTTTCAGTTGTTGATGGAATCCGCCTCTCTGAGAGCTACCACAGAGTTTGGGAAACCTAACTACCAGCCAGCCTCAGAACTGTAAAACTTTATAAGAGAAAAGGTTTCATTTAGAGTTTTAGAGCTGTACCCTCATTAGGAGATAATATAATGAGTTGCCTTTGTATTTTAAAAAGGTAACTTTAAGTAAATGAAAATGTATTTTTACTAATAATATATTTAAATGAGTTTGTACTACTGAAAGGACTAAAAGCTATATTAATCCAAATCACGAATGAATTGGCAACAGATAATATTTCATATTATTATGTTATTAGACTGTGTTTTATTGCATGTTTAACATGCAAATGATTTTAATACTTAATTATTTTATTATTATAAGTAACTTAACAATAAGCATTATTAACTTACCATGTACCATTCAGAAGATTTGGGGAGAAAAACATCGTCATCACTAATAAATGTTACATTTTCAAAAACCTAAAAAAGTTAGTACATAAACTTAAATGATTTTAATTTGAATAACTAATAGTTTTTTTTATGTTTTAAAAAAAAAATAATTAAAATTAACAATTAATTCAGTAACTGCTTGAAGTTTTCAAAGCAAAAATTTTATGATTTTAAAGATACATTTATATTAAAATAAAAAAATTAGCATTATTTTACAATGTAAAAAACTGATTTATTTTTAAGTAAAACATTATTCATTATAAATTAGCATTAAAATTAATTTCCGGAATTTTCTTCAAATTTATGTCGAAACTTTCTTTGTTTATTCTATAAATATAAACTGAAGCTAATTATCACATAAAACAAGTTTTTTTAAAAAACAACATCTTACTTAAGGAAAACTTCAACAATAACTTAACAGTAAAACCAAAGTTTGACTTAGAGTCAGACTTAAAAGCCAAAATTTCATTTCTTGTTTTCATTATCTCCATGACATTAAGATTATTTTCAGATCTTAAACATTGTTTGTAATGTTTTGCTTTACAATAGATTAAACACCATTAAAAGAAAAACAATTTATTCAAGCAATAGCTCTTATAGTTTTACCACTAAGCTATTTATTTGTCCAGTATTGGTAGCAGTAGGTAGCAGTATTGGTAGCAGTATTAACAAGAGGAAACTGTATACTATGCACACTGTTATATTCTTATAAAGCACTAAAAGTTTCAGTAGCAAGAATTAAGTCTGTAGCACCAGGAATAGAAATTGACCTGTATATTGAATACTAACTTCCTACAAACTTTCTTCTAACTTACTTCTAACTTACTACTAATTTACTTCTAACTTACTTCTAACTTACTTCTAACTTACTACTAATTTACTTCTAACTTACTTCTAACTTACTTCTAACTTACTACTAATTTACTTCTAACTTACTTCTAACTTACTTCTAACTTACTTCTAACTTACTTCTAACTTACTACCAACTTACTACTAACCTACTTCTAACTTACTACAAACTTACTACTAACTTACTTCTAATTTAAAACACAAACCTTGACAACTAAGGTCCCTGCGCAGAGAAACAAGTTGAGTGCGGTACTACCAGGGACGTGGTGGGAATTGAAATCTATACCTCTCGCTTATTACGCAAGTGCTCTACCACAACACCATGACAGCATTACATTTACAATGTGCTTTTATACTTTGTCTGAGAGTAAGAGGGTTATTCATCAATATAGGAATACCAATATTATTACAATATTTTTTTGCAGTAAATAAATGAATTTTGTTTGACAAAAACTGCAGATTTCAAGTCCAGAACTTAAATCCATAAACCACAGCAAGCCTTAGGCTGTTACAGAAGAGAGATCAGATTAAAAATTAGCTGCTTGTTCTAAGCAATCTAAAAGTGAAGATTTTTTGTCAAGAGTATAAAGTTGAGTCATCAACAAATAGAGCCACTTTAGATGTTAAACTTTCACGAAGATTGATATTGTCGATAAGAAACAATTTAGGAGCAAAGATTTAAAGTTACTTGAAATAAAGAAGTGTTGGACTTCAAGAATAACTTTATTACTGCAGTTAGTAAGAAATAATTTAATAATCCCAAAACCTTTATATAAAGAAACTAATAACAGAGTGAAAACTAATCGCAGGATAGTTGGAGAGGTCAAAGTGTTTTCAAGAGTTTTAAAAAATTGGAACCACTAATTTATCACTTTTTAAAAATTAAATATTAATAGGGTCATATCGGCATACCATTCAAAAATTATGCGCATAACATTGCATAAGATGCGCATATAAATTTAACAGATAAATGCTATACAAAATTAATTAAATATTGTCAAATATAGAAGAAAATGTTTTTTAAATCAAATGCAGGTGAATTAAAAAAAGTAAGTTTTCATTAGATTTTCTGTAATTAATTTTATTTATAAATATTTCAAATTATTTTTAAATATTTCAAATTATTTTTAAATATTTCAAATTATTTATAAATATTTTCAAATTATATTTCAAATTGTAAATATGAAAACTAATATTTTTACGCGTTTGTCAAGAAACTTCTAAATCGTCAATTAATAAATTGAAAAATTGACCAAGTTCTCTCTGCTTAAGCTGACAAAAAAATCATTTCAAAAGTTGATTTTGCAACTTCAAAGACTGAACAGTTTTCATATAATAAAGTAGAGTGGGGAGAAGTGGGACAGCCTGAAATTTTTAATTAGGAGTGGTACCTAAATACTGTTATTTAATATAAATATTAAATTTAATCCCCTCTATTTATCAGAAATTGCTTTGTTTCCTCGCGTGCGCTAGAAGCCTAAATTTTGAAATGTACCTTAGTGTTTACATTGGGGTGAAGTGGGACAGAAAAAAGAAATGTTTATGCCTGCTTCTTCCCATCACCATTTGATTATTTCAATTAGTGAAAGCTCTCGAACAATTTTATGTCAATTAGGTAATTTTATGATATTATCAGTTTCTATTTAACAATTTGTGTTAAAATGTTGTTTTAAATTTATTTGTCCTACTTCTACTCACACTTGTCCCATTTTTCCCCAATGGCACGGTTTCTTTAAAAGCAAAAATTTATATACTTAGTTATAATTGGCTTAAAAACTCAGGGGATTGAATCAGTGCTTAAAAAAAAAGTTTATTTGTAAAAACTTATTTGGTTCAGTTTATACATCATATAAAAAAGATATTTCAATTAGCCTAAAAAAAATTTGCATGTCCCACTTCTCCCCACTCTCCCCTTCCAATAGTGTTTTGATGGATAAAAAACAACAAAAATAGTGTTTTGATGGATAAAAAACAACAAAAATATTGTTTTGATAGATACAAACAACAAAAATAGTGTTTTGATGGATACAAACAACAAAAATAGTGTTTTGATGGATAAAAAACAACAAAAATAGTGTTTTGATGGATACAAACAACAAAAATAGTGTTTTGATGGATACAAACAACAAAAATAGTGTTTTGATGGATACAAACAACACAAATAGTGTTTTGATGGATACAAACAACAAAAATGACTACATTTTAGAGGAAGTAGAAGTTCTTAAACTATAAATTTTTCAGTTTTTAAAATTGAAGCACTTTTATTACCAACTTAAAGTTATAAATTATAAAAGTGTGGTAACTAAAGAGATTTAATAGTGGAATTAAATGTTGTTAACTTTTTATTCCACTATTAAAATTGATGAATTTTTTGTTCCAAAAGTACATCAATTAAAAATTTCATGAAAACTAGAATTAAAATTCGTTTTTTGGTATGTCTGTCTAATTAAAACAATTAAACGGTTTTTAATGATTTGAAATTGAAAAAAAAAATGCGAATATCTGCGCATACAAATTTTTCTGAACCCTAAATATTATTAAACATTACATAATTAATAAGATTAAATGTTAGACCTGCTTTAGTTAATGACTTTGCTGAAGACTAACCAAATGTCTCTAGAACCTAACATCTGATATAAGATACAAGATTAGTAAACTGAGAATAACAGAGCTTAACATCATACTGGACCTTTTTACATTGGCTTCTTGGAATGATAAAACAACATTTATTCTTAAAAATGATGTTTTTGTAAAAAAGATGAAATAAATGATCAATAAAGTAACTGCTCAAGATGGTTAAAAATATGAAGTAGAATGAAGTTTGACTTGAAAAGTAGGAATAAAAGTTTCCAAACTTTTAGTCCAGAAAAATAAAAATTTCTGAAATGCAATTTTTGCATACATATTATGGATATAAACATATATGTTTGCAATTTATTTAGATGTTGGCATATAATATCGTTTCATTTTTATATAAACTTATATTTTAGGATTTAAAAATGTTTATGTAGCCCTGGTCACAAACCCAGCCCGGACTATATTTTATCAAACCCAGCCCAACTATATTTTATCAACCCAATTTACTACTAACTTACTTCTAACTTACTACAAACTTACTACTAACTTACTACTAACTTACTATTAACTTACTTCTAACTTACTTCTAACTTACTTCTAACTTACTTCTAACTTACTTCTAACTTACTTCTAACTTACTTCTAACTTACTTTTAACTTACTTCTAACTTACTACCAACTTACTACTAACCTACTTCTAACTTACTTCCAACTTACTTCTAACTTACTATTAACTTACTTCTAACTTACTACTAACTTACAACTAACTTACTTCTAACTTACAAATAACTTACTACTAACTTACTTCTAACTTACTTCTAACTTACTTCTAACTTACTTCTAACTTACTTCTAACTTACTTCTAACTTACTACCAACTTACTACTAACCTACTTCTAACTTACTTCCAACTTACCTCTAACTTACTATTAACTTACTATTAACTTACTTCTAACTTACTTCTAACTTACTTATAACTTACAACTAACTTACTTTTAACTTACTACTAACTTACTACTAACTTACTACTAACTTACTTCTAACTTACTACTAACTTACTTCTAACTTACTTCTAACTTACTACTAACTTACTTCTAACTTACTACTAACTTACTATTAACTTACTTCTAACTTACTACTAACTTGCTACTAAATTACTTCTAACTTACTTTTAACTTACTTCTAACTTACTTCTAACTTACTTCTAACTTACTTCTAATTTACTACTAACTTACAACAAACTTACTTCTAACTTACTTCAAACTTATTTCTAACTTACAAATAACTTACTACTAACTTACTTCTAACTTACTTCTAACTTACTTCTAACTTACTTCTAACTTACTTCTAACTTACTTCTAACTTACTACCAACTTACTACTAACCTACTCCTAACTTACTTCCAACTTACCTCTAACTTACTATTAACTTACTTCTAACTTACTTCTAACTTACTTCCAACTTACTATTAACTTACTTCAAACTTATTTCAAACTACTAACTTACTACTAACTTACTACTAACTTACTACTAACTTACTTCTAACTTACTACTAACTTACTTCTAATTTACTTCTAACTTACTACTAACTTACTATTAACTTACT